TATTTGGGCGACGCCCAAATAACTAGCCTTTCTAGACTATAAAAAACATCAATTTAAGAAAGTTGCAAAATTTGCATTTTTCCAAAGGGATTAGTCCATGGTTTTGGTCAAAATATTTCAATATTTTCTTCTTTTATTTTTGGCAAAATATGACCAGAAAGCTGTTTGGAACGATGTAAATAGGAAACTAGCCTCTAAAGACTATAATAACATTGATTGAAGAAAGTCGCAAAACTTGCGTTTTTACCAAGGGTTCGTCCATGGTTCAGCTGGTAAAAAATTATGAAATTTTTCTTTTTTCCTTTTTGTTAAAACAGAGTTTGGTGGCGTTGTAGATTGAGAACAAGCTATGCAAGACCGTATGAAAACATCGATTAAGAAAGTCGCAAAATTTCCAGTTTTCCAAAGGGGTTAGTCCATAGTTTTGATAAAAAATTTGCAACGTTTTCTTCTTTTTAATTGCTGCGAAATATAGACCAATATAGGCTGAGAAAAGGTGTTTGGTGACGTTGTACTTTTTAAAACTAGCCCTTCTAGTCTATAAAAACATCGATTAAGAAAGTCACATTTTTCTAAAGGGGTTAGCCCATGGTTTTGGTCAAAAATTTGAATTTTTTCTTCTTTTCGTTTTCGGCAAAATATGAGGGCAAGAATAGATGTTTAGGGACGCTGTAAACAGTAATCTAGCCTCTCAAGACTATGGAAACATCCATTTAAAAAAGTCGAAAAATTTGCATTCTTTCAAAGAGTTAGTCCATGGTTTGGTTCAAAACTTTGAAATTTTTTCTTCTTTTTGTTTTTGGCGAAATAGCCTGAGAAAAGGGTTTTAGTGACGTTAACGTTGTAAATAGAAAACTAGCCCTTTTAGTCTATAAAAACATCGATTTAAGGTAGTCGCAAAATTTGCGTTTATTCAAAGGGGTTAGTCCATGGTTTTAGTCAAAACTGTGAAATTTTTTCTTTTCGTTTTTGGCAAAATAGGCCAAGAAAAGGTGTTTGGCGACGTTGTAAATAGAAAACTAGCTTCTAAAGACTACAAAAAAATAGATTTAAGAAAGTCGCAAAATTTGCATTTTTCCAAAAAAATTTGAACTTTTTTTTCTTTTTTAGCAAAATAGGGTCAGAAATGTTGACGGGGAGGTTGTAGTTTAAAAACTGCCCTTTCCACTATATAAAAGCATCGATTTAAGAAAGTCGGAAAATTAGCATTTTTCCACCGTTTTGGTCAAAAAATTGGAAATTTTTCTTCTTTTCGTTTTTGACAAAATATGGCCCGAAAAGGTGTCTGCGGACGTTGCAAATAGAAAGCTAACTGAAAAAACATCATCTGCAGTTATGTATCTGCGCGATAAAGGTAGGACTGACCTGCACCTATTCCAAACAAGGTTTGTGGTTGGCTGGGAAAGCAATAGGAATGGTGACATAACAATACCCCTTTCCCTGAAAACAACAGGTAGTGTAGATTATAGGGAACAATGAAATAAGAGGTTTGGATGCGTGCAGGTCAATCGTAAAGGTAAGCGGCAAAGGACGTTGAACGCAGGGGCTCTTCTTAGGCCAGTGCCAAACGTCGAACTTTTCGTGGAAGGAACCAAACTGGGCGGATTAAGTTCGTAATAAGTTCGACGTTTGACCATGTCTGATGCAAGTGGTAAAGTATTATTGGTTCGACGCTTCATTAGTTCGAAATCTGACCTAACAGACGAATTTAAATGTATCATGTAGACCCAAATATACTGTAATCACAATTTGGTTCGTCTCATGAAAAGTTCGACGTTTGGCCTTGGACTTAGTTTTTTTCAGTGAGGATAAACGATGAAGTCAAAGAAATCACGGCAAGTGCTCGCGGCCAGCATCAAGGGTGGGAAGGAAAAACAAATGTTAATGTCTTTTGTTTACTTCGAGAAATCAAGAAAAGAGCTTTAAAGCTACGGTTGTTCCTGCGTCCGTTGCAAACTGAACTGGAATTCTGTAGTGTTGTTTATAAGGAGAGTGGAAATCCGGAAAACCCTGAGAAAAACCTTCCGGAGCAAGGCAAATAACAAAAGGAACCTCAACCCGCATGTGACGATGAACCCGGGATTCGCACTCATCTCACCGCTGCGTCTGTGTTTGCATGGGATTGCGTGCAAGTCGCGACTGGCAATTCTAGTCTTAAAGGGACTATGTCACGAGGACATTGATGTTTTAGGTAAATTCTGTGCCTAACTCAGTAATAAGTGTCTCTACCCATTAGGGCGATTTTTGTTTGACCTTGAAATGAAAACTTGCGAACAAAACAGAAAAGACAAACAAACGGAAATAGAGCGATTTGATTGGATTATTGAACGAATACAAACGCGTGTGGCTTGTGGTTGGTTAAGGGAACGCCCGAGAACTTTCTAGAAATCATACGATACTTCGCTTTGACGTCATACTGCAACAAGATTGGCCAATCGAATAATGCTTTCTCCATATTAGGGTTTTCTTTGGCGGGAAAGCGGAGAGGCCATATTTTGATCTTTTCATCCATTGGCTGATAAAACAAATAACGAACACTTACCGAAACCATTTTTCAAGGTCATACGAATTCGCTCTACTCAAACGGACAGACATTTTCGTAGCTCAAATAATCATAGAACGAGAGGTCCAAAGACTACTGCAAAGCTGATTTAAAGCAACGTGTATTGTTTTTTATAATTATATTTCGGCTGGCCATACCAGCCTTCTTCAGATTTTGGCTGATTAGATCTCTTTTCTAGAGATCCAACGTTTACAACTAGCAGGATCGTCGTCCACGGTTTTTGCAGTTAATTTAATCCTCAAATGATCATGTAGATATTGAGGTCTTGCCCCATCAGGGAATTCCAAGACAGTCCTGAATTCAGAATTCCAGGTGCCGGATTCCAGTCTTTGTCAGTGGAACTTGGAATCTGGATTCGTTGAGCTGTTTTCCGGATTACAAAGCCTAGAAAAATGTTCCCGAATTCCGGAGTGTCCTTAATTAATTCTTACGTCCTTAATCCGTTGACGCTTAAATATCTTAGGTGTGTGTACTAAACTGTTATGCTGAAAGCTAACTGTGTAACTTTGTTTGACTTTCAGAAAAGTGCAAGTGCCAAAAAATAATCCACACCAACTGATACGATTTCCCACCCTACGTAGAGAACCATCCCGGGCAAAATCCCTCGGGACTGTTCCCGTTATTACTCGGAAAAAAATATTGAACAATGCTTTGGAAATTGCACAGGTGGTGACGGGGAGCCTGAGATCTCTTATTCCAAGCGCCAAGAAACGCAGGTAAAGATATTTTTAAAAACACTTATTAGATAAAGAGGACTTTGCAGTTCTTAGTTCTCTTCTAAGGTGGATTTCTACTGTCGCGTAGATTTATGAGCGTATGCACGTAAATTTTACGTGCGTCAAAAAAATAGGGGCAACGTATGAAAGGTCGCGATTAACGTATAGGCTGATTTAGTGGCAAGGTTAGGCAGCAACGACGGCGACGGCTACGAGAACGTCACTTAAAAAGTGAAGTCGCGCAGCCTCAAACTTCAATCGTGCTTATTCCATCTCGTTTAATTCGTCAAATGTTGGCAAATTGTTTTGGAGTTGAATTCTAAAGGATTGTATCAAAGCTTAGGAAAAGAAAAGGAAAGTTGTTGTCTTGTGTTTCCGTTCTCGACTGAACGTGAAATTAGGGACTTTCAAGTTGTAGTCGTGCAACGACAGCTAAGAAATGTACGAAAAGCGTGATGCACGTGCAAACTGAAGTTGTTGTTTTGCCAATCTAAACCTATTGCTTTTTTGCCTTCCTCGTTGCCGTTGCCGTTGCCGTCGCCGTCATCGTTGCTTCAGCTCCCTAGCAACAGAATGGGAACGTCAGTTGACGACTGCCCGCGCAAACTCAAAAAACTGACTTGACTAATGACAGACCGGCAAATTAGGTACCGGAAGTTGCGTTTAGTCCCTTCGCGCGCTTTCCCGTCGTCAAATGACCTTCCCGTTCTGCTGCTAAATCATCCTAAAGTTGAACCCAGCTCAACTTTTACGTTCACGCGTGACTCGCCGCCATTGATGTCTGGTTTGTGCTGAAAACTAGGATCTTCCGAATCATTATACTTTTCTACTCCTCCCCTAAGCCAGCATTAATACTTACTTCTCACTTAGGGAAAAATGTTGGCTCAGGGGACCGAGCTTCCTCGCGAAAGCATTTTGCATGGTGCTAGGATCTTCCTACCCGTCAGCTAGGAAGATCCTAGCACCAAGAAGTTCCTAGTGCTCGGGACAATTACAACCCCTTGCAGGTAAAACTTTAAAAAAGCCAAAGGCGTTAGGATGATCCGCTTTCTAGGATTTTTCCCCCTCCATGTAAACAGCCCTTAGGTTTAAAGCCTAACTGGAAGGAATCGGTATTCCTTTTTACTAGCTCGTAATGGTGTCGTTTTTCAAACTCTCACCAAACTGTAAACGAGCGGCCGGCATTCCTCTCTTGTACGTACTCTTAGACATTTTCTCCTGTCACTCCTATTTTTCTTCCTGTTTAAAATAGGTTGACGTTAGGCTACGAGTAGTTTCCTCAGGGGTAGTAGAGCGAGCGAAACGCGAGCGCGTGTGAAAATCACCCCACGCGAGAAAAGGCGACACGCAGCAGGGAGAGAGAAAAACGATTTTTCTCATTTTTCTCTCTCCCCGTCGCGTGTCGCCTTTTCTCGCGTGGGGTAATTTTTACGCGCGCTCGCGTTTCGCTCGCTCTACTATCCCTGAGGACAAATGGGGGACTACTTGTCGTCTACGTTGACATCAAAGACAGTGAAAACCTGGATCAACCTGATACCACCACATTTCCAATCAGTGAGAAAAAAGCCGATCGCTACTATCAGACTACCCACAAGTTCATCCCTCTGGTAGGATCTCCGGGCGACGCACTCATTGTTGTTGATGAACCACCCGGTACGTCAGCAAACGCTGTGTTCAACTCTGTTCGATCAGGGTGGCATGTGTTGGTACTTACGTTACTGATGGGGTTCCTGTCCGGCATCATCACGTGGGGACTGGTAAGTAGTGAACGAGTGTTCCCTGGTTAGCCTGTGCCAGGCTCTCAAATAGTAGGAACGTCGCGAGAATAAAACTATTCAAGCGCATGCAAGACGCGCGCGATTTGGGGAAGGGCCCGCTCTATCTCTCCTCCGCCCCTGAGAGTTTTCTGTATCATTTTTTTACTGCGTGACTCTATATTACTATCTTGGAGATTGGAACAGGCTATCCCTGGAGACTGCACACTGTCCCCCAGAGATTAGCTTCCTGTAGCTCTCGGTTAACAAAGGCCTTCGAAGGTCCTCTCCCTAAAATCCCAGCTGGCTGAGTAAGAGAGGTGGATTTGCAGCGTGTCAAACTAAAGCTGAGGGAAAACGGGCAACAAAAAACAAGCAACTTGTCATGCAACAATGCTGCAAACGAATTGAATAACGATGTTGCGCTTTTTACCACCCATAACAAACCTGTCTTACAACAAATCAGGTTGTTAACAGGTTTGAACTGGGTGATAAAACGCACAACATCGCTTTTCAACTTGTTCTGCAGCAATGTTGCCAAACAAGTTACACGTTTTTGCTGCCCGTTTTACCGAAGCTTAAGCACGCGTTGTTCTTATTATTTAGCGACAATTTATTCTTTTAAACTGGACACGCAATTCACATCAGGAACGGATAAGTTCTCATTACAAAATCCCTTTAATCCTTTTAAGTTACTTCGTAATTATAAGTTTCAATTGATCGCTTTGTTACGGAGTCACTCGATAAACAACCAACAAATGGTGGCTCTAGCACCGGTAAAGCAACCAAAACTACTTTAAAATCACCATGATGCGTTATGTTTTAGCGCACGAGGTACAATTCTGACGAATTTTCCAGGTCGTTAATTAAAGCGGGGGGGAGATGGTGGGCATTTGTTACCATGACAACCGTGGGGTGAGTTCAATGCTTTATTATCTCGTTATCAAACAAACAGTTACTGGTCGAAGAATGAAAAAGATTTTTGTATGTAAGTCTGAAGCGTGTGCCAGAAAGAGGTTTATAAGGTAGTGACCGAACCTTTAAACCCTAACCAACCAAGGAACCCACCGAATTGTTAGGTTTTTGCAGCATAAAGCAACTCCATGCTAGTTAACTACCGGAAATTCCAAAGAATCAAGTTACGTTTCTCAAAGATGAAATGATTCCTCCTACCGGCACTGGATTAACCACAAAATTATGTTAGATTTCTTAAGCATGGAACATCCTGAGTTCATCACAGGGTTAAGATATAGTAGAACGGGCAACAAAAACGGGGACATTGTTTTGCAACATTGCTGCAAAACATGTCGCGTTTTACCACCCACGTTCAAACCTTCCTTGCAACAAATTAGGTCCGTTGCAGGTTGCGAAAAGGTGTTGCAGAAAGTAGAGGGTAGTTCTAATTTTGAAACAATTTCTGCAACCTAAGACAGGTTTTATTCGTGGATAGTAAAACGCGCAACATCGCTTTTCAACTCGTTTTGCAGTAATGTCTAAGACTCTGTAGTTTAACTGAGGCAGAGAGGTTTAATCTCAAGTGTTGAGCCAGGAAAAAAGGTGACCTTTTTCCAGTGACTGGACGAGTGAACGCGCCTACTCTCATCGTTGCATTCCAGGAAAAAAGCTTTCGTCAACTTAGAAAACTTTGTAAATATTCGGCCTCATGGGCTATTAAGTCAGATTTTGCATGATTTTTTTGTATTACTTTCATCATCATCATCGGTCGACAGAAGAGCCGTCGACTGTGACCCGTCTCCAATTGGCTCGGTCTTAGGCAGTGCGCACGATGTCATCCTCTGAGAAATGCTTATTGGTATTCGATCCATTCCTGGACTCAGATGGAAAAGGACTTATGTTCTCGGTCTTCCTGGGATCTTCTCCCTTAGGAGGGTTCATACACCGCGTAGATGTTAGCGGGTTCATCCTGTGGCCGAGGAACTTGAGCTGACGTAAGATGGCCGTCGATAGCAAAAGGCTAGTGCAAGTGAGATCGTAGATTCTTTCATTTGAGACTTTGTCAAGACGTTTGATGTTCAACATGATTCTATAACGTGAGTTGACAAAAGCGTTTGGTTTCTCACCCATGTCTTTGGTGATTACCTACGTTTTGCAGCGATACAGTAGAACGGGAAGACCATTTTGTTCTAAAGAGGCGCATTTTCCGATCCAAAGGTAGCTAAAGGCATTGTCTGCGAATAGCAGATCTTGTCAAGACTCCAGAAAGCAGACCACGCGCGCGAGAAGGTATTACTTTAAAACCCTAAAAACACATTGGAATCACAGAAAACCCTGCGTTAATGGTTCAGTCTGACAGACCGTCATACCCTTAAGCAACAACTTTTATTTGTTTCTCTTAGATTGCAGCAGTTGCAAATTCCAGCGAGTACAGATTAGGACTCAACAAGAACGCGAAAATGCAAGGCAAGTGTCAAAACACCTTTGCATGATAATTTTTGAAAAGAAACCTGCGAAGGAGTAATGACGAAAGACAGATTTCTTGATTTCTGTCAACTTAGGTGACCACTCGTTCGCACTGATCATATTTGGTGCACTGATTACGTGATCAATACGGCGTTATTAGGCTTAATATTTTAGTATTCCTTAATCGGCCTCGTTCCCAGTGGTCCTGGGCGATTTCGGCTATGACGTCACTTCGGGAAAATGCGCCGACAACGAATCGCGCTAGATTCGAAGCTTCTTCTACTCACTCGGATGGCGCGAACTGACCTTGGGACGAGGCTGTTGCTCAACGTCATACACCTGGGTAACATCAGAAAAGGCAGGGGAACATGACGGGACATGCGTAACATGTCTCTGCACGTCCTCGCATAATGTCTCTAATACATGTCCTAGTAACATGTTCCCTTGTCTGCATTGAATGGAACACGCACCGATCCTTAACACAGTCGACCACTGAAGAGTAAACTACCTGCATGTTCCCTTGTCTGCATTGAATGGGTCACGCACCGATCCTTAACACAGTCGACCACTGAAGAGTAAACTACCCGTATGTTGCCGCATGAGAGCGAGGATCGAAATTAGCCAATCACTAATAACCACAGATATCCAGGCCGTAGCAAGTGTGGGGTAGTCAGAAGGACTTCAGTGGAGAGCAAAAGTTTTGGAAAAAAAATTAGGCAAGATGTCATATCATAAATATTGTTTTCATACAACATTCAGTTTCCTTGATGAAAATTTTCGTCCTGCAATAGCTTTGATGGCGCCGTTACTAATCCTGTGTAGCCAATCGACACCATCGCCTGATGAAGGCGCAGTTTATTTGGAGAGAAGTTGTCGCGAGAAAAAGGGTCACTCTCCCAGCCTAGTCAGCTTTAACCCTTTACACCCTAAGATCACCATTTGAATTTTCATTTGTTGCCCCTATTCATTTCCTACAGAAGTGGTTGGGAGAAGATGATAAAATATCAAGCAAATTCATCTTGTGTGATCACGTCCGTAATTCTCATGACCACTCTGTTTATCAAAGCATTGATATTACAAGGAGAAAGTTGATGCTGGTCACTCTTAGTCCTTAAAGGGTTAATGAGCGTTTATATATATAAAAAAATCACCTCTTTGTCCGAGCAAAGAGCTTCAACAAAGAGCTTACATCTGTCCTTGCGCATGCTCTCATTGTCACGCCTTGACCGAATTGACACGGCTGGGCGGGGCCTATGTGTCATCGATAACAAGTGACCCTCCTGGGAGGAGCACCCTTCTAGCTGATCCAACTTGTTGTTTCTCATGTAAACGGTTCGCCACGTTTTGTATCGAAACGTTGGCTCGTCCAGCGTAGCTCGGGTAGGCGAGTGAGCCGTCTACCTGAGACAAGTTTTCTCCATTTAAACGGGGGCTTAGCAATAAAACTCAAAGATCAAACTACGATGAATAACATATCTTTCATTAAACTGATTTTTTTTTTCAGGTAGCATAGACTTGGTGTCTACTGCGGGCCTGCTGACACAGCGACAATTCAAAGGGGTTCTAATGGAGACGTACGTCACTGGAGAAATGAAAGAATTCTCTAGCGAAGAGCTGCGAGTAAACAAAACCATCGATCAAAACTCATACTATGGGGTTGTATTGGGAGATGGACGATTGTCAGAAAAGACCTTTCAGAACTGCTTCGAGGACTACTTTCTTTCAAACCAAGCTGAAATCTTCGAAATAGTAAAAGCGAATGCTAAGCCAATAGAGGTAAGTTTGTTCGGAAATCTTTTAATTCCGCTATGTTTTGGTTAATGAGTCAAACTTCATTGACATTTTGATTTCTTCAAGTATTAGACTTTACAAAATGCTAAGGTCAACACTCACATGGATTTTTCACTCTAAAAGATAATTAACAATTGCGTTCACAAATTTGTCAAAAGAGCAAACTTCACTCACATGGAACATCACATTAGACACTCACTATGGACTGATACTACTGGGTTTACACATCAGTTACCATCAACACTCTTTTTAAGGACCAAACCCGCATGGAAGATCACACCAGACGAGTTACTGATTTTACTGGGTTTACAAATTAGTCACCAACACGAACCTTTTAACCGAATACACTCACATAAAAGATCACAATAAGACAAACTACTCATGATACTTTATTCATCCATCAACAAAACTTCTTTTAGCGAACGATTTCACTAGACAAACTACATTCTCGTCCCAAGAGCCAGTCAGTTTAATTTATAACGAACGAGACCACGTGACCAAAATAAACGAAGGGGTCTAGGGACGAGAATAGACCAACTACATTTTCGTTCCCAGAGCCAAACAGCTTAGCGATCGAAATCATGTGACCAAACAAACGACGGGGTCTGGGAAAGATAATGGACAAACTAGTAATGTCATTGACTTTCAATAAATGTATTATTTCGTTTTTCTTATCGTTCGTAGGAGCCGTCAGAGAGTGCAGCCGTTGAGCGCTCATCCAGCTTATTTGAGGCCAATTCTTCCCTGTTCCAGAACTCCATTTTCACCTGCATTGGCTTGCTGCTGTTTTTTGTCGGCTTTTGACATTATCTGGGACTACGACTACATGAGACATTGGAAGTAAAAGACAGAGATGGGTAAGACGAAAGGCTTAGGTCAAGTTCACATTTCAATACTCCCCTGGACGGTGCCCAAGTGGGGTACTCAATGGGCACTAATGTGAACACACCCTTTTTCAAGTACCCTCGCCAGAATACCACTATATGTCATTTCTTTCACAACCTCTCAAGTCTGCTTCCTCCTCAGACGCTTCATTTTTCGCACAGAGGAGAGCGCGAAACGCGTGTGACACGCGAGTGATTGGTGACGAAGAACAAGGCCCGTTGTCCCCTTCCCGCCTTCCTTTGCGCACACGAGGAGGCTTTAAAGTCATAATGGCCCTTATGTGTGTTTACGTCAGCCGAGCAAATGTCACCACCAAGGCTTGTTGTGACCAAATTCTTTGCATTTGCAACTCGGCAATAGAGGTGGGGTTAACACCCATTTTTGGAGCATTATTACGTACTATGTAGAAGACTTTTTGATAACATTGTCAGTAATCTAAACCTTAAATTGAAGGCGCTCCATCCACCAGACTATGACAACTCACGCTATAACCTAAGACGACAGCACCTTTTTAATATGCCAAAGCTTTGCACGAACAGAACAAGTAATACTTTTATATATGCGATGTCGAAACAGTCCGGGCTGTAGTTTTATCCCACTTATATTCATGCTTTATATTTTAACATATTTCAATATAAATATGTTATATAGAGTTTTTAATACTATCTTAAAAATCAGTTTTTGACTTATTATCTAGGATTCATTTGTAATTTTCAAGTATTGTTAAGTTTTTGTAAATAATTGCGTAATTCAGCCTTTGGTTGCGATGTAGTTTTAATAAACTATCTATCTATCTATCTATCTATCTATCTATCTATCTATCTATCTATCTATCTATCTTTGTACATGAGAATTCTTTTCAAAACAACTATCGTGAAAATTCATATATGTAACATTTGTAGAAAACCTTAATTTAATAACTGACCCTAAATGCAACAAAATCTTAAATACAATAAAATTTCACCCTAAATGTAATAAAGTATTAAATGTAATAGCGTTTGGAGTTACATTTGAACTTTTAAGCGTGACCACATTCGACCTTAAATGGTATGACCGCTGGCGTCATGCTAACGTCATCAATGACGTAAGTAACGCGTCATAAACCATCTAAGTAGTTAGGAAAATGGCCACGTGATCCTTCGCGCCAACTGTCACGAAAATGAGTCACGCCCCCGTCAACCTCAAGACCAACTGATTACAACACCTACGTGACCAATGAAAACATCAATCACGTGTCTTCTCATTTATGGTAAATTTACCTTCTTTTTTCCCCCTTACGTACAACTTTCTTTGCCGGCAAGGGCCTATTAGTCACTCCAGAATAGTTTTTTTTGACTCCTAAAAGTGACATTAGACAGATTACGGAATGAAAATTCGACGGCGTTGACGAAGGTGATCGCAGATCTGAAAAGAGCTTGACCGATGGCAAGATTTTTACCCTGTTCCAGGCGTTCAGATAGTAGAGCGCGGGAGAAAAATTCACGAAGAAAACCCTCCATGTCCCCCCTCCCGTTTTCCCGGTGTACAATTTAACTCGCTCCCCACTGACCGCCGCGGAACAGGCTACAAGATTTTCGAAACGAGGCTTGGCGGTAAAATTTGCTAGTTTGACGTAACCATGCATAATTTAGAAATGAGAATGCAGCTAAGTCGAGTTAACCTTAGCAAAGACTTCTGGGACTGTTACCGGAGTGGCCAATAGCTACGATCCCAGAAGTGTTAGCAAAAGTAAACTCGGCTTTGTTTTCTTTTAGCCAATTCCAGACGTTCAAAACGCTTTTCCTTCTCGTTTATAAAGAGGCGAATTCTGTGTACTACTCCTACCTCCCCGGCTTTTTTCTCCATTTATGCCATCAGAACACTATAGCTTGGCTTTGTTGTCATTGCAGAAGTCCTTGCAGATGAACTGGAACTTGTCGGTTGGGCCTGGGTACGAAATGGCCAAAAGGAATCTGGACATGATGGACTCGCTGGTGCAACAAGTTCAGGAGTTTTACGACAACTGGATGAAGCGACTCGACGATATCACAGCTAAACATGAAGAGGAACAAAGACTACAAGCCAAAAAAGAAAAACTAGAAACTTTTCATTATGACTGGATGTATTGCTGGTATTGTGTACTCCGTGAGTCACACTTTATTCCATATACACCGTAAATAATGCCAAAAACAAGGAAGCGGGAAACTTTCCTTTGCTGGCTTATTCAAGAGTAAATTGTCGCTCAAGAGTCGGAAGGAAGTCCCTGTTCGTACGTTAATCGGTAGTTGACGATAATGGCAGATTATGGATGAAAGTGATCATTGTTACTTTTTTGAATGCAGTAGCGGCTGTAGATGTGGCAGGTACAGAACACAGGTCACAGGTCACAAGTGCAGGACGCTGCTCTATTGATTAATAACGGAGGTAGGCAGTTTTCCTTTAAGCTAAAAGTCTATTTCAGGTTTTGATTAGAGCTAGGAGACACTTTAAGCGTTGTTTATTTACCGTAGCATGGTGACCTCTACTCGAACCCGGCTGCGCTTGTGACCTGTGATCTGTGTTTGTACCTGCCGCTGTAGATGTCCTCACAGCAAGCAACAATGACGTTAAAACTTCACGAAACTCGAACCGTGCATTTCGCACGACCATTAAATCATTATTTCGTTTTGAGAGAAAAAACAAACCCGACCGCTTTTAGTCGTATTAGCAACTTTTTTCTTTTTTTTTTACCCTCTGAAATACCACGTGACATTGCTGTTATCTCATCAGTCCTAAAGGACGTGCAAAAAAGACGGGTATGGTGATGAAATTGTGAATAAGGTCTGTTTTTACGAAATAAAACCGCCTCTAGCTAATTGTCGCTATGGTAGTTGGAAAAATGAATTAGTGTGCCTATTTTCAGTTTGACGTTTCCATTACCTACTGGTATTTTTTATTACTTCAGTCTGTAAATACACATCTTATATTGCTCATTAATTAAATGAAAGTGCTTTCTAATATATGCCTGTTTTATGAGAAAATACGACTATAGTCAACAGAACGTTTCTTTATCTACATCCTCTCCAGATCTAGTACTCTCACTTCCTTGTATTACAGCTCAGCTTCCGGTGCCAAGCCGCAGTAATAGGGACCTCAAGATCCGACGACCGCAACGGCAACGAGAACGTCAAAAAGCAATCGGTTTAATAACCAAAACAACAATTTTGCACGTGTATCACGCTTTTTTGTACACTTCTTTGCCGTCGCTGCACGACTACGACGTGAAACTGCCTTAATTTTGGTCAGGTAGCAGCTGCTCTAAAGAGAAGTCACCAATGGTGCCTAACTCTGACCCCAAACAATACTGAAACAATTGAAAGAATGACATGTCATTGTTTTCTGCGACCAATCAGGAGAGACCTTACGAGCAGCTCCTACACAACTGCTAATTTCACGTTTTACAGAGGAAGTACACAAGCGATGACGAAATTTCCTTCTCTTTCTGAACTTCGATATGGTTCTTAGGAATTCAACTTTCGGCGGTTCACCTACATTTGACAAAGTTAGTGACTTGGAGTAATCGCGATGAAGATTGAAAGAACGCGAATATTTTCAACGACGTTTTCGCTGCCGTTGCCGTCCTCGGATCTCAAGGTCCCCAATGGCGGAGAGAAGGGAAAAACCCTTCAATATTTGTCAGAAAGTAGTGATAAGGAAAACGAGATGCGGATATATATGAAAGAAAAGTACGTTCTGGAAACTGGGAGAACTCTCCTAACTCAATTTCTTGCTTTGTACTCTTTTTACACCTACGTAGTTGTCAAACCTTTAGGGATGAACGTCATCATATTTCCCTTAATTTTTATTCCAAAATCACGTCCCTGTGTCCTTCATACCAATCTAAATAACAATAGCACTCCGGTAATTACCATAATCGGAGTCCCATTCACAGTCCTCACATTCGGAGTCTTTAGGAAGTTTAAGCAGCGACGTTTTTGAGCGACGAACGTCAACCGGAAGTGAGCCTTTTTCTCCTTTAATATGCCTTGGCGCTACCAAATTTGTATTGCTAAGTGTGTTTACTCTTAAAGAGACAATTTGTCCCAAAATTTGTTCAAAATCACGACTCAAGAGTGCAAAGGTCCACTACCGGTTGACTTGCATCGCTCAAAAATGTCGCTGCTTAAGGTTCTCCTGAAAATAATGACAGAAAATGGAATTTATTCACCTCCCATGAAGGTAATTTCCAACACCATTTTGTTTGTTTATTCTTTGCGGGGCGCCCTCATCAACATTGCGCGCGGGTATCACACGCGATGGCGCAATTATTTCGATGGAACCAATCCCATAACTGGAAAAATCAGAAGGTATCCAGTTGCGTTCTCCTACCCCGATTGTAGCTAACATATCAGAAATTGGCACACGTAGACAAACCCACAGCCTGGCCAGTACCTAACGCATGCGCACAGCCATATCGCCCAAGTGTTGGTAGTCTGCAAAGACTGCTGTCTTAGCCATTTCACAGACTCTCTATTTTCTCCTCAAAGTCCGTCGAGCGCGCGCGATAAAAAACAGAAACCGCGGGGGATTTACTGACCGCCAGCGCAAGGGGGTAGGGGTGGGGGAGAAAAAAAAAAAGCGAACTCGCTGATGTTTTCGAAAAGAACGAAAAAAAAAATAAAATAAATAACAACGTCTCTGTACAGGCTACCGCTGTCTCGATCAAAGGGCGACCTTATTAGGGCTCATCAGCATGGTATAGCCCGGTCTAACCTATGAACCGCGGTTCTAGCTCCTGGAATCGGGTTGATACCGTCGTTTCAATTCAATGTTAATGAGAGATAACCTGCCTATTTTACTTAAAGGCTCGCAACTGCAAGGGTAGTGATTACTTTCACATTTAAGATTGTGCTTCGATTCCTGGGCATGCGCGAACCATATTTTGCGCTCACATAAGCTCATGTGGGTTTCAGCACTCACATTCCTCCTTGTTACTCAGTTGAAATACTCGTCACTGTTAGAAGTAACATTTACTATTTATCTTACTCATAAATCGTGAACAAATGAACAAATAATAGGCTTGAATGTTTATTTTCCTGACTCCATTGAGCGCGTTTTACGATACAGAACGTGTGTAGTAAATTGGATCTAAAGTAACATAATCAGACTTCTGGAACTCGGATTTAAGCTTCAGCAGTTCTTTTACTTACTCGTCAACACTTAGCTTTATGGCAGAAGTCGTGAAAAATCTGGCACGGATCTTGTGAGGTACGTTTAATTAGCTTGACTTAAGCTTAAGTTTAAGGTTCATGAGCAAGCAAAATTATTTTGATAATTAAAGGATATGAGCTTATGGTTTCAATCATCAAGTAAGTCCAGGGGATCTGGTACAAATTGAAGTGAAACCTGAAATTTGGCAGGTACAGAACACAGGTCACAAGTCACAAGTGCAGGTCATTGCTCTGTTGGTAAACAACTGAGATAAGCAGTGTCCCCTTAAGCTAAAACTCTATTTTGGGTTTTGATTCCTTGTGGAGAGAGTTTATAATGTTGTCAAACTTTGTATCAGTCGTGGAATATGTGTGGATCGCACAGTGAGGGCAGAAACACAAGTTGGCCTTGGTAGGTAGTTGCAGTGACATCATTGATTGTGATGTTGAGTTCAGTTGCATTAAGGTTTGCAAGCAACATAACTTCCACCGGGTGCAATGAAAGGCTGATATGTTTTTTTCCTCTGTGATGAAATGGTTAAAATGTTTATTGTTGGTGAATTGAGACCAATTCTCCTCATGCAAATGCAGGGAACTGCAACTCTACAAGTAGACACTGATCGCCTGCGAGACACTGGTTGGCTGTGGGCTATAATATATTCTTCAAATGTGATAAAATGAGTTAAAGTAGGGCTTTTACCATCAAAACCCTTCTTAGTTTCTTTGAATATATCTTTGAATCCTTGATAATTACTTCTCCACCAGCTTCAGACAGCATGTGCTGGCAGAATTTCATGGGCAAATGCTTTAAATATAATAATTTGCCTTGCCTTATTAATATTAATTTGGTGACTTGGAACAGGAGTCTAGGAGATGACTTTACATTTAGGTGGTCTCTGTTCAACTCTTGGCCAAGGCATTTTTTCCTTTTTTCCATTTTGTTTTTGTTTTTAACCACATTTTTTTACCTGTTAGCTTGTTTCCCCTTATATTTCATACTGCTGCTCCTCTACGGCTTCATGAGGTGTTGCAATAAATATATTTCTAGTTAGGGCTAGGAGACACTTTAAGTGTTGTTTATTTACCATAGCATGTTGACCTGTACTCAAACCTGCACTTGTGACCTGTGATCTGCGTTTGTACCTGCCACTTAAAATTAGCAGACACCCACAACACCTCTGTTGTCATTAGCTTACCAGAACTGTCCCTAGATTTAATACAGGTTTGTTTTGGAGAAAATATGGGAAGAAATGCCGAAAAAAATGTTAGCCATTCATTTGCTTATGGATACTTATAAGATACCAGTAGGTTTCACTGTACATGCACATACATCGATCAGCTGGGTATTTTGCAGAACAATGAAGGGCCACTTAATGCCAGATAACTCTGACGTTTAGTGATTAGGGCTGGGAAACTGAGTGAATCAGGTTCCATTGAAGGTCCTTATATACTGGGCAAACTAACCTGGTACTTCAGTCACTCAGTTTCATAACCCTGATCACTAAATTTCTGAGTTGTTTGTGATTGGGCAGTCGTTTGGTATTTTGCAAAATATGCCTGCTGCACATACATGGTAAAAAACAAGAGCTCTTGCCTTGAGGAAATGCATTACCAAAATGTGTTATGGCGGGCTACATCTAGAATTGTAAGCTCTTCACATATGTCAGCTCACAAACTTAACCAATATTATCTTACTCTTTGGGCAAGCTGATGTTGCCTCGGTGGCAGGAGAGGTACTGAACAAAATTTTATACAGGGGGAGCTCTGTCCCATAGTCCAATCCCTTACCCTTTTATATACCATTTTGGACAGAAAAGGTACTGCTGTCTTCCCTTTCACATACCTAGTTTAGAACACTACATCCCTTAATAAATGCACTGTCGCGTTCCCAGTGTCATAGACACGTGGCGTTAGGCACTGGAGATCGCCAGGTTAACCACAGTGAGGCACTAGGTGGTTAGCAAGATTCAATAGCGTTATTAAAATCAGTCTAGACTGACTATTTACAACACTTGAGGTGAAAACTAGAAAGAAACATGTGATTTTTACGTCAAAAGAAACAAAAACTACGATTATGCTCCGTGTACGAAAAAAGAAGGAAAAACAAACTACAAAATTTAAATTTAATTTTAATTTCTACAGTTGTAATAACTCCGAAAGTTCTCTGATAGCTCCTTACTGTGTGATAGACTCCTTACAACTGAGTAAACGTGCTTTAGGAAAAGACTAATCTAATGCATGCCTTCTGACGTGAAGGAAATAAAACTGAATAAAGCTTTGTACACCTAGCCAAAAAACGGATATGCGATGATCATGTAATGAAATGAAACAATGCTACAATTAAAAATAGTCCTTGAGTGTAACTAATTATTATAAATGTCATTGTCCACGGATAACGTAACATGTATCATCTGTAAAATATGAATAAATTACTAAACCGGAAAGTTTTCTTGTCTTTTTCACTGCCAGGGGTGTCTACGAGTTCTAACCTTTAAAAAGTTGCAACATGTTAACTCAATTTTTGTCAATGTGTTTTTCTCTAAGTGATGGACTGCACTGTGTCACATATTTTGGAATCTTGATAAAGAGGAATAGCATGGCAACCTGCAGGACAATGTAATACACTCAGAAAATGAGATCAGCAAGAAAAGGCAGCTCTGAGGACAAGGTAAACAACTCTTCTATTTTTTTTACAGTAATATGTGTGACATACCATATTTACTTCATTGAATGAATTTCGTGCAAAAATCATGAGCCATATTTTGCGAGTATTTAAGTTTGCAATTTTTATGGCAAAGTAGAATATTTATTGGAGTATTTTAGATTTTGCGATTTGTCTATTCTTAATATGTAAAGGTAACTTTGAGCTCACAACAGTAACGACAGAATTAATATTTTTATCATAAACAACAGCAAACAAAGACAATTTTTGTTATATTTTATGGATGTGTATATATCTGTTATTGAATTTCGCAATTCTAATCTTTGCGAGTATTAGATTTTGCGAATATGGAATTTCATGGTTTTTACAATTAACAAATCGCAAAAATCGCAAAATTTAATAGTTTTGCAAAATCAGGTAATAAATACAACCCTCAAATAAACATCTCACCCAATCAGCTGCAAATGTTGTTATCAACCAAAAGGACAATAAACACTTAATGACTTGTTGTGAGAGAATCAGTTGATATTCTTTCCTGAGAATCTCACGCCTCGTAAACATTGAGATTTTCAAAACAAAATTAACGATTTTCCGAGGGACCAGTCTTGAAGTGAGTTGTTATATAGCCTATGAAAAAAAACTTTTTAGTCTACAAATTTATGAAAATACATCTTGCTAGCGGTTATCATTCACGGGTAACCGTGCGCCGTTACCCTCTGATGTCATAGATTTTGCAATGTTGCCTTCTCAGAGATTTTGGTGGGAAACAGTTTCATTGTTTGATTTCATGTGACCTCGAAATACCCAATAAGAGCATCTGCTGTTGGGAAAAAATTTCCAACTATAGAACAACAGTTATTGTAACCATAACAGTGCTTCCCATTTACTCCAGATAAGATTTTACCTCTTAAAACTTTCTCTTGATGATTTACAATCTGTATAATTTTTGCCAACTGTGTAATGGTTTTCTTATATAATTATAATATTAATGTACATAATAATTTGTATTTGTATTTTTTTAAATTACAATCAAGCAAGGTCAAACGTAACCCCCAAGATTCCATTAATGAATTCATTATTCGAAAGTTGAATCCGTTGTTAGCTGTAGATGTCAGATTCAGCTCTGAAATTTCTACCAGCTCAGTTTTCTTGAATTTGATATAATTGTCCGCAAAACAATTTTATCCATTCAAAAATTTTTCAACCTGACTGAATACAAAGAGATTATTGAAAAAAAATTCACTGTCCATTATGCATGCAGGAATACAGATTTGAATTTGATACTGATTTTGGTTTCATTTTTAAAATAATCTGTCATTAAAGAAATCTTTGGGGGTATATGCTTGACCTGGCTTGACTGTAAAAAAAATCAAGTCAATGAAACAGTCAGTTATTCATTCATTCCATTAAACAAAGAGTGATTCTATCAAATGAGAAAATAACTGAATGTTAGAAGTAATCAGTACGTTAGTCAGTCTTGGCTAAAGGTAGTCAATCAAACAGTCATACAGTCAGTCAGTCAGTTAATCATTCAATCATTCAATCATTTAGTCAATTAAAGGAGGGCTCATAATGTTATTTATCTAAAAGTGAAGTTGTTCAACTGAAAACAAATCTCGAGTTACATTTAACAAACAATTGAAACTTCACAACAAAGTGACAAAACAAAATAATAGACTTACAGATTATTGTCACCTGAGGTGAAAAAGGTTAATAAACAGCATAACAGTGGCACAAGCAATTCTTGCTTTCACAGACAACTCTCAATCCTTTTACAGTTTGATTGCATGGCTTAACATATCCCACAGTTCCAACAGCCATGATACTCAGATGACACAATGTTTTAAGCCTACATCCCAGCTTCTAAATGAGAAGTGTTTACTCAAAGGATTAAAACAATAGAAAGAACATCATCAAACATTATATCAAGGCCTATTGTAAAGAGAGAGAGATTTCAAGTTTTTGACCAAAATTATGGGTTAACCTGTTTTAGAAAAATGCAAATTGTTCGATTACTTTTAAATAACATTTTCATAGTGTAGAAAGCATTGTTTTCTATCTAGAACATCATCAAACATTAAATGAGGGGGAGGAAACTTATTTTCGTGAAGCTGTGATCTACAATTTTTGGTGTCCGTGAATAGTGAATAGTGCTGAAAAACTGTTCTGTGAATAGCGATTGAAGTGTCCTCTGTGGACGTGAACTGCCAAAAACCTCTATACTGTAGTCATACATTGAAGATAAATTGAAGAAATTAAATCATTAATTTGGCCAAATGATCTTAACTAGCATCTGGCGGCTTGATTTAACTTCACTTTTGAGGCTTTTGATGTAACTTCACTCTTCAGTGCACTCAGACCCACCTACAGCTGGCTACACTAGGGAATTTATAGCCATGCCGAGATCGCGCAAACACATGACGGAGATCAAATTCACTATTTGTTTTGTGACTCCTGAAATGCAAAATTGTTGTTTGTAAACTCATGATAAGACCCCTGCTTGTCCCCTCCTCTTATATCTACAGTGTAGGCCTATTTTGACCAAAATAGTGTTTTTTATTAACGCCTTTAAATTTACATTTTTATAGTCTGTAGAGCCTTGTTTTATAGCTAGAAGATCATTAATCATCATATCTAGACCTCAATTTTAAAGAAAAACAAACTTGGCAGAAATTTCAAAGCTTTGACGAAAATGATGGGTTAAGCCCTTCGGAAAAATGTAAATTGTTTGATTAGTTTAATAATAATTAAAATAATAATAATTAAAAATTTATAATGCGCCTTTTCCATGCAAATATGATCAAAAGCACGTGACAACTCGTAAATGTTAAAGGAAAATAAAAACTAAAATGAGCAAAATAATTAAGG